CCACTTCAGGGCTGCTGATCGCGATCGCGACTTGGTGACTTGGCAGCACCACGGTTACCTTCATAGAAGATGGCTCTGGAGAGGAAAAGGCAGACCAGAAAAAGGTTACTATTGTCTTCAGCACCGATCTCAAGGAGAAAGAAATACGGTCTGCTAAAGCCAAGGCACAAAATAAATCTCAAAACACGATTCACGATTCGAATATTTCAACAACAAAACTCACCTCTGGAGTAACTCCTGTTTGTGGCCCGAGATCGTTCCCTCCAGCGCCTTGAAAAAATCCTACAGCTGCATCACAGTCCATGTCTCTCTCGGAGACTCTGCTCCTACCAGCAGGAGGTTCAGCACCGCTCGAAGCCATCGCAAACTACTTGAACTAAGCAGAAGACATTCCAAAACAAACCTGAAACACACTGTCAAAGATGCTGTCACGTTCAAAAACTAGCTCGATCGCGAGTGAGGTTGCCCCCGTGCTCGAACCCAGTATAATAAGGGGATCGGTCTATTAGCGAACGAAATAATGTCGTATGTTTTGATATTTGGCTGAAAATTTCTCAGGAGAGATGGCATGTATGAACGTAGGCCATGTGAACTCAATCAGCAAGCTAACCCATGAACAAATGCTTTCCTTGCAGACGTGCATGTGTCTATTCGATCTTCACGTAGAGATCATTACATGCCCTCACTGAATGGCCTATTTATATATTTGTCCATACACTTCATCTGCATGTTGTCTCTTTGGAGAAGGGTATTGTTCATTTCATATGAAGAAGTTTGGGCAATAGATGCTTTCCTCTGGTACAATTCTGTTGGCCTGATGTTCTTTCTAGCTTCTGGATAGCTTAGGTGAGGTACCATCACCATCATGTTTCACAGTACATGAGGGTCAAACACTGCACCGTTCTTTGTTGTGACATCATGCAAGTAATTAGTTATTGTAAGTGCTTTTTTCCTTTTTCTTTTATCACATTGCACATACCTACGGAAGAAGGGGAGACAAAACGAAGACGAAACAAAAAAGACAACAATGGGTGTGTAGGCGCTAAATGAGCTGCGCTGGTGAGATGCAGTGGACTCCCCCGACCAAGGGTCTCGGGACCGGCGTACACAGCAAGCACCATGGGAGGGGGGGGGCGAGAGGAATGGCGGAGAGAGAGAGAGAGAGAGAGAGAGAGAGAGAGAGAGAGAGAGAGAGAGAGAGAGAGAGAGAGAGAGAGAGAGAGAGTGAGAGAGTGAGAGAGAGAGAGTGAGAGAGAGAGAGAGAGAGAGAGAGAGAGAGAGAGAGAGACAGTCACCCTGCCCGCGTGGCTGAGGAGGGGTGCTGCCTTCCGCAGGAGGCCCAGCCGCTGCTTAGCACGTGATGCCACTTGCCGAAGGTGGAGTCTGTAGCTCAGTTTAGAGAATCAAACGTCATTCCGAGCACCTTCACAGATTCATCTGGTAGGAGAGGAATTAAGCCAAATGACAGTTGGGGAGTCACTGTATCCTTCCGCTGGTGCGACAGAGTGATAGTTTGCGATTTTGATGGCTCAAACGCAATCTTCCATCTCTTGCCCCAGGCATGAAGCTCATTTAGGCTGCGTTGTAGTGAGGCATTCGAGGCTTGGTCAGGGAGGGAGTACAAAGTTGTATCATCAGCAAAAGTGTTCAGGTTTGTGCCATGCGACAAGCAGCTTGAAATGTCGTTTACGTACACGAGGAACAATGTAGGTCCAAGGATACTACCTTGTGGGACGCCAGACTGGATAGGGTGCACCGATGAGCTCTGGCCATGAACAACAGCTTTAATGGTGCGACATTGCAGGTAGTGGGTAAGCCATGCGAACAGTGAACCCCCTATCCCCAGCTGGTGGGCCTTGTAAAGTACGCCAGCATGAGACACTTTGTCAAAAGCCCCCGCTATGTCCACGGCAACTGCTTGCATAGCTCCACCTTCTGCCATGGCATTGGCCCACTCATACGGGAGGACAGTCAGGAGGTCTGCAGCTCCGGTGCCACAACGAAAACCGTATTGACGAGTATTCAGCAGATGGTGGCGTTCCAAGAAGTTGACAAGCTGGGAGTTGGCTATACTCTCCATTACTTTCGACAGGATGCTGAGGAGAGACACAGGTCGATAATTCGAAACAATTGACTTGGAGGACTTCTTGTGTATGGGGGACACATGGGCTAGTTTCCAGGGAGCTGGCTGGACCCCTGCTCTGAAGCATCAAGAGAACAAGCGAGCAGCAGGCTCTGCCAGCTCCCTGTGGCATTCCTTGAGGACTCTAGCTGATATGCCATCGGGGCCAGTGGCCTTGTGCGGATTTAGCGCCGCTAGTTGACGACGGACATTGGCTGGACGAAAGTGGATGGCTGTGATCTGAGGTGCCGCGGCATCAAGTTGCATAGCAGGGAGCTGATCAGAGGCGGAGAAATCGTTGGAGCCGAGGCTGCACTTCATGGCAAAGTATTGGACAAAGCACTCGGCTTTCTCCCTAGCAGTGGTGTGCTCGTGTCCAGATCTGTCGACCAGGACAGGTATATCGCTTTGGCGGCTAACACCAGCAGCTCGCTTAATAGCTGTCCACCATTGCTTGTCTTGCAAGGAGCCAGATGACAGCTTTCTAGAAGCTCGCTCTTTGCATTGCTGTTGGGCATGTTGCAGAACATGCACACAATGTGTAACGGATGCCAGGAAGGTTTCTTTCTGTTGCAAGCTATCGGGGTCTTGCCTCCAGACTCTCCAGGCTTGTTGCTTTAGGTGCACCGCTTGTTGGCAGGCAGGTGTCCACCAGACCGGGTCAGTGGCCATTACTTTAATGGTCTTGGAGGGAATAAACTGAGACATGGCATCACGCACAATTCCTGTGAGGGCTTCACAAGCAGCGTCAGGGTCATTTGATAGGACAGTTGGCCAGTTAATGCGGCTAAGATGTGTGCGCATCCTTCCCCAGTCTGCTCTAGCATACTGCCAGGCGATTCTTAGGGCCGGTTGCTCCTTGCGGGGACGTACGGTCTTGAACTCCGTTAAGGTATTGACATGGTCTGAGCGTCCAAGCGGCGGACCAGTGGTGACAGATGCTGCACCTGGGAGGTCGGATATAACTAAGTCCAGTGTGTTGTTCTTGCGGGTTGGTTCGGAGAGTGGGGTGAGGTAGTGCGAGGCGCACAAGTCCTCTAAGGCTTCCCCAGCAACAGTGGTCTTGGTGCTGCCCAGCCAAGCGGTGTTGTGGACATTGAAGTCACCCGTGATCAGAACATAGTCACCGAGGTGCCGGACAGCGAGCAAGGTCTCCTCAAGATACTCAATAAGACTGATATCTGACTCACTGGAGCTCCCAGACCAGTAGAGGGCGCAGAATACAATTTTATGATGATCACACGTTTCAATAAGAAGCCAGATGACTTCAAAGTCATGACATGGCACGGTGTCAAGGTGACGAAAGCACAGACCTGCTTTTAGCCATACAGCAACACCGCCTCCATGTGCAGTGCGGTCCTTGCTTGCCGACTCCATACGTTCCAGCAACACCTGGCATGGTTTTCCGTGAACGTCGTGAGTGAACAAATTCCTGTCCAACATGTTTATACAGACATGCCAGCACACACACCATGCACCATACACACACCTGCCCTGCCCTGTCGAGCCACTGCCACAAGGGCCTCGTGGGCCCAGAGGGGCAGTGGAGAGAGAAAGAACGCCGTCCCACGGCGCAAGTGACAGTACTAGTGTACCGAGCTAGAAACGAGATCGAGACCGAACCTGGTACTGTACCTGGTAGCGAAACGAAAGCCCCCTACAAGCCGTACTGGGCTCACTAGTTACAAGTAGTTGTACAGCTGTGTTCCGTTGACGCGTTATAACGATGCGCGCGGGCCGCGGGGTACAAAGGTCGCGCGCTCCCGTACAAAACTTACTTACTTCGATCAGATCGATCGGAGTAAAACGACTCGACGCTCGACCCGCACTACCAATGCCGCTCCGTAGCTAGCCTAGGCGTAGGGTCTACGTTCAACCACAACCACAGCAATCGACACTATCGTTATGGAGGTTTTGTATTCCGAAATTCGGCGAAAGATTCAGCGAGGCCTCGAGGCCGAAAATGTGCTCGAAGATTTGGCATGTTTGTTCGGAAAAGCTCACTTTGCCGAAAGAATTTTCTTGCAGAACAGCGCTATACTATCGTGGGGTTGGCAAAGCTTTGATTGATTGATTGATTTTTATATAAAGGATTGTGCAAAGGCCGCAGACGCCTATCGTGGGGTTCTCCTGTGTACTGTGTAAGGAAAGGGAGGAAGAGAGGGAGGAAGGGAGATGACTTTCAAGGCGCAGTCACACAGCATGCACAGACCGGATCGGACGGGAGTCAAACGTACATTCAGTCATTTCAGAAGTCAAAATGTCAACAGGTGTCAACAATGTGGCAACAATGTGGCAACGGAGTGTCAACCAACTGCGGTACACTAATTTTTGACGCTCAAAATGCAACATGAGCGCAAAAGCTCAAGCGAAGGAGCTGGGTCAATGGAGACCTGGTCCTGGAGAAGGATCCTTGTAGGCAGACTGTCTTGCAGTTTCATACTCGCGAGCTGTACTCGAGTACTCACCCGGTGTCGAGCGACGGATGCACAACCTGGTGTGGCAGCTTCCCGGCCCCACGTCCCACACCCAAGACGAAGTAGAGACTGGAGTACTCTAGCCTGCCGAAATGCAAAAAAAATACTCCCGATGATCGGATCGATCTCACACCAACAGTGCCGCGCTGCCGCCGCGACGACACCGCGTGATGCGGCGTACCGCGTGATGCGGCGTACCGCGTGCGTGCCGCTCGCGCTTGGCGCGAGTTCGGGACCCCAAATTTGTCTCCTATCGGCATATACCACTGAGTTGACCGACCTCGCAGCTCGGCTCTAGCTCTCCGACCAATGGTCATCCTCCAACGCTACCGCGTCCGCGCACATGCGAAATACGCCCGCCATTGCTGCCTAAAGCCAACCGCAAAGGAAGAGATCAAGACATTCTCTAAGTTGTTGTTGAACCGTCAAGAACGGTTTCTTTCTGCTCTATTGGTCGTTCGGTTGTTTGCTTGGGCGATTATTTCTCTTCCCAAACGTACGTACCTCTTCCTCTCTCATTTGATTGTGCATGGCGGAAAGGGAGACGAAGACGAGAAATGAAGCCTTCGGACCAGGACAGACTTCGGTGTTGTTTGTTCCTTTTTCTTCTTCACACATGCACAGATGGCTTTCCTTCGCATCGCTCTCGTTCTGGCCTTGTGCCTTCTCCAGCTGACAGGTGAGTGAGACCCTTCGATTATTCGACAATGAATAACGTCACGGAAATCTGTTTCAGCCGGTTGTAACGCGGGTGTGCGAACTTTAGTTCTTAGCTTTTACAGTGAGAGTCCTCCGCCTCGGTAGAGTGCTCAATATTCCTTCCGAACGGTTCGCATGGAGCTATCTTGCACACGGCACAGAGCACCAAGCATCGTTCGTTGTAGCTGTGGGTTTTTAGTTTTTACGTGCATGTGCATCGACAGTCGTGGCCAAAGAAATCCGACCCGGAAGCCGAAAACAGCGCCAGGGCTTGGTGTGACCGCTGCGGTCCTTCGATCGGTTTTTGGACCAACGTCCGTCCATGATGTAGATCTACAGGTAATCTAAATGGAAAGGAAACGCTACTTACTTTAGACTCGCGGGTCGGATTTCTTTGGCCACGACGGTACTATCGTTTGCCTGCAAGAGTACAGTCAACTTACTTCGCTCATAACGACACTCGTACTCGGCGGGGCATAAAAAAAGTGTCCTTATTCGCAAAGTGTTGTTATACCCGAAGTCTCATTATATGTATTACAGTTGGATGGGACTTTGCTCTGGGAATGGAAATTCTGTCGTTATTCGCGAATTGTCGTTCTATCCGCAGTCGTTATTAGAAAAGTTGACTGTACATAATCTTCCAAGACTGAGTGGGCAACTCTGGATGCTCTTTCTGTAGGGTCCGCCGACGGCAAAAAGTCACAGCACGTGTTCACATACGTTCCCAGGTCGAATATAGGCGAGCGGCGAACTACCGCATTATCTCCAATATAAGCACAGTCTCCAATAATAGAACACCTTCGGGCAGCATTCAAAAAATAAAGTGCTCAGTCTCCATTATAAGCACACTGTCTATCGGTACCTGGTAAAAAGCATGTACCGTATTATCTCTAAAAATGCAGTACTGGCGAAAAAAACCCTGAAATGTGTGTGTCTGACATGAATTTGGCATGGCAACATGCCTCTGAAATGAGGTTGAAATAATAATGGAACAGTCTCCAATAAAGGAACGTCTCCATTAACCCATTGAGGGCTACAGGGCCTTTCATCTGAGGCTCTGAAGAAAATGCTAAAAATAGGGTCAATGTAAAGCTCCACAACTTCATAGTCTAAGCAACTAGGTTGTTGAACTCTTGTGAAATGTTGACCAAGGCTATAATCATCACGCTGACCAACTCGATATAGTTCCTAGAAAGGGGAACAAAATGCTATATGACACATAAGTTCATCCAAATTGCGTAAAATACAAAAAAGTCGCCAATTTGAGTTGAATCACCGGACGAAAAAGAAGAAGAAAAAGTATCCAAGCGGGATTCATACCCGCATCCTCTCGTACTGAATGCAGGAAATGTACCGCTCGACTCTTGGGTCTCTTGCAACCCTACGCTGGAACACGGAGCTTAGTACGGTAGGATAGCCTGTCAGCCCGAGTATATTCGGGCTCAGCGCCCTGACGTCATCCTGAATCCCGAATATATTCGGGCTCAGCTGTCAATGGGTTAATAGCACGGGGCGGAGGAGCATTGAACAAATAAAGGACCGTGCTTATAATCGAGATGATACCGTAATAATAATTATAGCACTCCCTGGTACATGGTCTGACAGTCAACTTGTGTGAGTCATCAGCATAAGCATAGCAGATACATGTACATGTATGCAGATTGCGTGTACTGTACAGCCAGACCTCGCTTAACCGCACACATTCGTTTTCCACAAAACATTTCCGGATGGGCGAGGGAACCGGATAAGCGAACGCACACACTGTATGTATGCATAGCGTGTGCTGGAATGCCCTATACAAAATTTACTAAAATAATCATCATAAATCGGTAACCAGCGATTTTCTTCCGGATAAGCGAGGTCTGACTGTATAATAATCAACATGTTGTTTTCGTCGTAACTTTAAGTTGATTTCGGTAATTTCGGTAGAGAGCTCAGACACCTAAAAGGCACTCGCGTATGCACTGCACGCGAAGGGAAAGCTGCTGGTCACCTAATTCTAGGTTACACTGGTTCCCGACACCGAAATTTAAATGCACCTAATATTCCATGTTACACAGTGCGCTGTCCTTCGTTTTAAAGGGGAAGTTATGGCAAAAATCAAAATTTCACCAGTTGTAGTCTTCGGGGTGCTGAGTCGAATGGTCTTGGTCCGAGAAAGCTGAGACGCTCCCTTCCTACTTGAATCCCAATCGAACTCGCGCACTTCCACCGAAACTGGGTGACTGCGCCCTACTAGATGGGGATTTGTATGCAAAATGTCACTAAAAGCGCCATTTCGTTCTTATAAAAGCACGGATCACCGCGATTGGCCCATATGTTGTAGTCTTTTGGACGCTGAGTCGACTGGTTTTGGTCCGAAAAGGCTGCGATGCAGCGTTCCTCCTTTATTCCCAATCGAACATGGTTGAACAAGCGGTCACGTGCTCCTGGGTGCCCAAATCACCTGGTCACCGCACCAGCAGGTGACAACTTTCACACCAAGGTTCAACTCGAGTTCAACTCCAGTGACAGGACTGCACCCAAAAAAGGTCAAACAGGCTAGTAAGTTGTACCCTGCAGGCACGGTGACGAGGTGACTGGTGTACTCAGGAGCACGTGACCACTTGTTCAACCATGTTCGATTGGGAATAAAGGAGGAACGCTGCATCGCAGCCTTTTCGGACCAAAACCAGTCGAGTCAGCGTCCGAAAGACTACAACATATGGGCCAATCGCGGTCATCCGTGCTTTTATAAGAATGAAATGGCGCTTTTAGTGAGATTTTGCATACAAATCCCCATCTAGTAGGGCGCAGTCACCCAGTTTCGGTGGAAGTGCGCGAGTTCGATTGGGATTCAAGTAGGAAGGGAGCGTCTCAGCTTCCTCGGACCAAGACCATTCGACTCAGCACCCCGAAGACTACAACTGGTGAAATTTTGATTTTTGCCTTAACTTCCCCTTTAAAGGTGTTTAAAGGGGAAGTTAGTAAGCAGTACGAACCGTACCTGAAACACGTGATAGAGTCTCGCCGTCGGAGACCGCATTTCTAATGCCGAAATCCTGGAATCACTAGTCCAATCCGCTAATCATGTTCCACAGCACAATTCTTACATGATCACAGCACCAAATGGCGCATTCATTCGAGGTTTTTGCCGGTCATGGCTTCTCATAACTACGCCAAATCAACCAGGTGGTCGGCCAATATAGTCAGCAACCCATACTTCATTCTCTGGCTCACTTATATTCTGCGTGTGTGTGTTTGTGTGTGTGTGTGTGTGTGTGTATGCGTTTGTGTGTGTGTGTGTGTGTGTGTTTGTGTGTGTGTGTGTGTGTTTGTGTGTGTGTGTGTGTGTGCATGGTGGGTGGCACGTGTACGTGTGGGTGCCATGTGGATGTGTCGATTTTCCTTTTTGCTGACCTGATACCTTGGACGTTCTTCGTCGGTGGTCATCATCCGATGTGATGGTTGCCTGGGCAACATTCGTCTGATCAGATGCGCGACCAGCATCTCGTAAGTGCTATATCTTTATTTGTATGATGAGCTAACGACGAGGAGACGACAGTTTCATAACCGCAATCAATACGACAAGCTGAATCGCCCTTTGTGTATACTGTATTCGTGCAATGTAAAACGGGGGGGGGGGGGGGGGGGGGGTGGAGACAGATATCCTCAGCTAAAAAAACTTAGCTGTGGGGCAAGCGGCCACTGCACCTTTGGGTGCCTATCACCAGCCTCGATATCGGGACGGTCCCGACCAAATATGGATGGTTGGCAGCTATGCATTTGCATCGATTATGATGCTATGCGAGCACGGTAAAACCTGTAACTAAAGACCACCGTGACTAGCGACCAGCCTGGTACTACAGTAAAACCTGTGACTAAGACCACCGTGACTAGCGACCAGCCTGGTGCTACCGACCACTGTGCCAGGCACGGACGGTCTCACATTCATAAAATTATGGTTGTGCGGTGCAAACCTCTAACTAACTAAGGACCACCTGCCACTAAAGACCGCTTTCTCTGGCCCCAAGGGGTGGTCGTCTGTCACAGATTTTACTGTGCTGTGTTGGCAGGCGCAGGGGAAACCGTGCACTCTGCTTCTGTTACATTCTACCTAGCGTGTGACATGTTTTCAATGACTTTTTGTTGTTTTTGTGAACATGCAATGAACCGACACTACACTGGCAGGACAAGCAAAGAGAAATCGCAGGCCTAGCCATATCGTTGTACCCGCCGCGATGCGTAAGTTAGATAGACACACGCACATTCATGCATGCACACACATACACACACACACACACAAACACGCACACACGCACACACACACACACACGCACACACACACACACACACACACGAATGTGTACATATGCACGCAGCGATGATTTCATGCATGCCTAGTCAATTCCAATTTCCTAAAACATCCATGACACATACAACGACAACATTGCATATCATGATTTCAGTTTTACCCATTAAGTTAAGCGGAACGCGGGAAATCAAAATCATGTAGCACATTCAAGAACATGATCTCCCTCTGGCATCCGTCCTCATTTCCCCATTTTCTCTGACTGTAAATTCCGTTAGAACTTCCTTGTAATTACCGGTACATGTACATGTATTTCCGATTGGCTACTGTCTCATTTTCCCGAGTACAGCTCGTGCTTTATCGAGCCACGTTTCATTTTTTTTCTATTCTATCGCCATCATAATATTGGGCATCAATGCCCGTTTGGTGTGCGATGTAAAATACAAAATAAATCAAAAAAGAACCTGTCATACACTGCATAGCAAGGCAAAATCAATCTAGGGTCATAATTTTTTTAAGTCGGCCTGGAGACAAGAAACCCAATATCGATGAAAAAAAAGTGAGCGCACTCATACTGGAAATTTATGCAACGCATGTCTACAGCTTTGTTTGAATGCATGCGTACTGCGCAGTACTAGTCCCTTGTATAGTACGCAAGTTGTAGTGCGGGTTAGCATACAGGTGTGAACGCTACGCACTTTTCATGCAAGCCACTTTTCTGCATTCTGTACTTGCTTTCATGCATGTGTCGCTGGCATACGCGATACGGGCCGGGTTTGTGTATTGGTTTTGAACCATGTGGTTCTTCTTTTCAGTTTAGTTGTTCTTTGGTTGCTCCGCGAGTTGTTGCTTTGGTTGGAGACAAAGATGGCTTTCCGTATCAGTAATATAATGCAATGTAACTATAACTGATAGTATACTGTTGAGTGTTGGGATGCGTTGGGACCCCGACACCAATACATACTACGAGAACAATGGAACTGAACGGCGTCGTTTTCATGCGAGTACCATAATAATTATATATCTTTCCTTTGTAGTCCAAAACTCAATGTGATGATGATCACATGAAAAAGATATTGTTCCATTGTTCTCGTGGTATGAGTACGCTTACTTTACTGTCTTGGTTTTTTGTCTCTCTGAACAGGAACGCAACAAGGGCCCCATTCATCATCTTCAGGACATGGACCAGGACCCCAGGCAATGTCTTCATCCCAGGATCAAGGACCCCAGGCAATGTCTTCATCCCAGGATCAAGGATCCCAGTCAATGCCTTTAGGACACGAGACAATGTCTTCATCCGGGGATCAAGGACTCGAGTCATTGTCTGGATTCGAGGGTCTGGTCGGTGATAACTCTACTGGTAAGTCAGTTTGAATAACCCACGCACATGCCAACCAGGGGCGGAGCTGGTCCCCCCCCCCTTTTAGGGGTCCCCTTCTAGGGGGGGGGGGGGGTGCACGGCCGCACATGTGTAGGATGTAGGATGGCTGGTGCATGTCATTCACGGTCATTATGTGCATGCTGAACCTATGTCGAAATTGTTAGGGGGGGGGGGGGGGGGGTTCACGTGAACCCCCCCCCCCCCCCCCGTGCCCTATGCGCGCCTGCACACACAGTGCTGCTCACTGAAATGCGGTCGCGAGAGCCAAGCCTGCGCCCTGCGCTATTACGCAGGTCTAGGGTTGCGCAACGCCCGGTGCGGCGCGTACTCGAGTGACTCGGCGGGATTTCACCAGCACTACTCGTGTGCACACGTCGACGCCATTTTTACGCATCCACATCGAAGCATCCAAGACTCAGGCAAAGCTCAAAGGACCAGCTGTCGTTTCACAAGCTCATTCTTACAAGGAAAGATGAAAACTGAAAAGAACCCTGAAAGACGGTGCGCATGCTCCGGACGTAGTACTAGTAGTGGTAGTAACGAAAGAGCTTGAAAGCTCAGGGCCCTACGCTATGCTTTTTTTGCCTAGCTCATCATGCATGTTATTCGACCTGATGGAAACGTTTTTTCTTCAATACAATGATGTAATCGATCAGTTCTAATGACGTGCATGATGAGCTAGGCAAAAAAGCATACTAGTCCCGCCCGCTTTAAAACACTGCAATCTACCCGATCCTTACATCACCGGCCCATTAGCAGAACACCCAAAAACATATGAACGGTAATGCGATGATTACAACACCGCAACCTTGACGACCTGGGAAAAAAGCATAGCGATGTTATCATTTGTTCGTTTCTCCAATTCTTAAAAGACATAACATGGGATTGGAGCCCGCACTATTGCTTTGCATGCATTCCCCGATACACTTCGCAGACATAGACTGCTGAGAGAGGGTCTCCGGATTCTTCGATAAAAACGTCCGCACGCCCGCGTTACAACCGGCCATATTGCGTTGAGAAACACAACCAACTTAGGAAGTTTTGCTCGTGCCAAGTCAACACCATGCCTGTGATACCAGGGTGGCAGATGCAGCTCCTAACGGCGAGGGTGAGGTGGTAAGTCTCACAACCAATTCCCGACAAGGGGCAGAACTTCGTTAGCTGCATCCATGTTACCCTCACTCCGAGTAGTGAGTACCCAGTTGACCGTGGGTGTCGGCGCAGTTCATTGCATGTAAAGTGGTTTACGCATGCATCACCGCTTTTGTTAGCACAGTACACGCTCCCTGCTCCCAGCGCTGGTCTCGAACTCGGGACCTTGTGATTCGCAGGCAAGACCACAACCACTCGGCCAAAGTGCTGGTCTACATAACTGTTCCTTTCTTCCGCTTCCGGGATAAATTTCCCCTAGAAGCTAGAGGAAGCTCCAATGCACCTCTAGAACTCCTGTTTGTGTGTGTGTGTGTGCGCGTGCTCGTGCGTGTGTGTGCATGTGTGTGTGTGTGCGTGTGCGTGTGCGTGTGCGTGTGCGTGTGCGTGTGTGTGTGCGTGCGTGTGTGAGTGTGTGTGCGTGTGTGTGTGTGTGTGCGTGTGTGTGGGTGAGTGTGTGTGTGCGTGCGCGTGTGTGTGCGTGTGTGCATGTGTGTGTGATTTGTTGTGTCTATGTAAACAGATAGCGAAACAGTCGAAGAGATTTTCAACGCGTTCAATGCCAGTAAGTTATCTGTATCTAAATGTACGTTTTACATAGTACATAGGTTGGAGAAGTCCTTAAGACCGTAGGTAAGGGCAGTTTTCGTTTTTGGGTTCGTCATGTCCAATTGGGTTTTCGTCATCCTGTCTTCATAAACAGTCTTCTACGAGTGCTAGTTATCTTTTCCATTGTAGAAGTGTGGAGAAGGCACGGGGCTGGGAGCAAGATAAGGAAGACCAGTTAAACCATATCCTGCTTTTTGTTGTGTTTCTGTGAGCAGAACACAAGCCCACTGATAACGATCACTCCACAGAATCGCACCCCGAATCGCAATCCGAATTGCACCCCGGTGAGTTTATAGAAAATAATTATGTTTTAGATACACTCCATTATCGTCGTTGTCATCCATCATCATCCTCTGCTGATCAGCTCTCTAAGGAGCGAAACAGCTGTCCAGAGGCGTACACATTATCTGTCAACGGAAGTGTCCTTGCCGTGTGGGTGTGTTATGCTTCACACATTGCTTCGGCTAAAGCCTAGTTCACATTCGACGGGGCGCGACGGGACGCGACGTAAGGATCGACGGGAAGCGACGGGACGGTCTGACGGCGTCCAATGTGAACACCAGAAACGGGAACGCAACCGTACTACCGTACAGATCGGGAAGCGACGGGAAGAGTTGGATCGATCCAACTTTTCATACCGTAGACGGGCGTAGACGGGGACGCAAGCGTACAAAACAGCTGCAATTCGAGTGTGAACAGGAGACGGCGTCGTGCGCCGACACTCCCGATTCGTACTTGGATATTTTTAGCATTTCGAACACTGCGCTTCCCATGATAACTCACAGAATGGCTAGCACGACTTGAGTTGAATTTTAGCAACATAAGATCTCATGTCACTTATTATATTTAGGGATAGTTCAGAAGTGTGACAGACGAACTATTCTATCATTTCCTGGGGCTATTATTTGAATGCCACAACTTTCAGGGCTAATTTTTTGGTCTTCATGAAAAACTGGTATTGTTACTTGATTCCGCTTCTTTCAAGGAGAAATAATTGAAAAGAAGTCCCGAAAAACGAGAAATTAGGTCCGAAAGTCACCCCGTCACGGACCGTGTCTTATGACTCGCGCCGTTCGACGTTGAACGTCGCAACGACTGCTGCATGTCGTGTCGTACGAATCGTACAGGGGATTTTACAGCTCACCCCAGCCCTCCCGACAAGCCCTTACGTCCCGTACCGTCGGCGTTGCGTCGAATGTGAACTAGGCTTAAGAGCGCATGGTGGTGACGGATTGACTATAAAGTGGTTCACGTATGCGTCACCGCTTTTGTTAGTACAGCACATGCTCCTTGCTCCCGGCACGGGTTTCGAACTCGGGACCTTGTGATTCGTAGGCAAGCCCACAACCACTAGGCCAAAGCGCTGGCCATATAACTGTTCCTACACAACCTAACTTTCTTCGACTTCTGGGATAAATTTCACCTAGAAGCTAGGGAAAGCTCGAACGCACCCCAACTACTGTTTTTCTTCGTGTTTGTGTGTGTGTGTGTGTGTGTGTATGTGTGTGTGTGTGTGTGTGTGTGTGTGTGTGTGTGTGTGTGTGTGTGTGTGTGTGTGTGTGTGTGTGTGTGTGTGTGTGCGTGCGTGTGTGTGTGTGCGTGTGTGTGCGTGTGTGTGCGTGAGTGAGTGTGCGTGCGTGCGTGCGCGTGTGTGTGTGCGTGTGTGCATGTGTGTGTGATTTGTTGTGTCTATGTAAACAGATAGCGAAACAGTCGAAGAGATTTTCAACGCGTTCAATGCCAGTAAGTTATCTGTATCTAAATGTACGTTTTACATAGTACATAGGTTGGAGAAGTCTTTATGACCGTAGGTAATGGCAGTTTTCGTTTTTGGGTTCGTCATGTCCAATTGGGTTTTCGTCATCCTGTCTTCATAAACAGTCTTCTACGAGTGCTAGTTATCTTTTCCATTGTAGAAGTGTGGAGAAGGCTTGGGGCTGGGAGCAAGATAAGGAAGACCAGTTAAACCATATCTTGCTTTTTGTTGTGTTTCTGTGAGCAGAACACAAGCCCACTGATAACGATCACTCCACAGAATCGCACCCCGAATCGCAATCCGAATTGCACCCCGGTGAGTTTATAGAAAATAATTATGTTTTAGATACACTCCATTATCGTCGTTGTCATCCATCATCATCCTCTGCTGATCAGCTCTCTAAGGAGCGAAACAGCTGTCCAGAGGCGTACAAATTATCTGTCAACGGAAGTGTCCTTGCCGTGTTGGTGTGTTCTGCTTCACACATTGCTTCGGCTAAGAGCGCATGGTGGTGACGGATTGACTATAAAGTGGTTCACGTATGCGTCACCGCTTTTGTTAGCACAGTACATGTTCCTTGCTCCCAGCGCGGGTTTCGAACTCGGGACCTTGTGATTCGCAGGCAAGTCCACAACCACTAGGCCAAAGCGCTGGCCATATAACTGTTCCTACACAACCATACTTTCTTCGACTTCTGGAATAAATTTCACCTAGAAACTAGGGAAAGCTCGAACGCACCCCATCTACTCCTGGTTTTCTTGTGTGTGTGTGTGTGTGTGTGTGTGTGTGTGTGTGTGTGTGTGTGTGTGTGTGTGTGTGTGTGTGTGTGTGTGTGTGTGTGTGTGTGTGTGTGTGTGTGTGTGTGTGTGTGTGTGTGTGTGTGTGTGTGTGTGTGTGTGTGTGTGTGTGTGTGTGTGTGTGTGTGTATGTGTGTGTGTGTGATTTGTTGTGTCTGTGTAAACAGATGGTGAATCTTTCAGTTTCGAGGAGCTGTTCGAAGCGGATAATGCCCGTAGGTTATCTGCATCTAAATGTTTGTTTTACATAGCAGGTATAGGTTGGAGAAGACCTTAAGACCGTAGATAATGGCTGCGCCTGTCGTACTCTGACAAACAGACAACTGTATACCTTATTGAATGCAAGACCCTAGCTAGCATGTAGGTTGCCGACAGAGCAAGCCTCCCAGCTCGCCGACTGTTCAGTCGGAAACCATGATCAAGATAACCACGATGAACTTGAAACTTCACAATAACATTTAATTATAGCTATCATATTTTACTAGTTCTAAGTTCACTCCTTGTTAGAAGTCTACTACAGTCGTCCCTCTCTAATCCGGCACCTTTTGCTACGGCGTTTTCTGCTGGATTAAGTTAACGAGGGTGCTGGATTAAGAAATCCTGCCCTCTGACCCGGCCCTACCCAATTGCATGCATGTATCATACGTCAAAACGCAGGGTTTTTCCGTGTCGACCCAAGTATTTGGTGCACGGGTTTATATTCTCAATTGTTCTCCGGGAATATACACAGTGATAAAGTAAAACAAAGAACATGTTCACATGAACTCTTGCACACACACGCACACGCACACACACCTGAAAATTGGCAGGACACTACTCCTTGCTAAAATAAGAAAGTAGGGTTGACTGCTTAGCCGTTGTCTCCTGGACAACATTGACCAGACTGGCCTAGCCTGGCATGGCAAGGAGTGCACCTGTACGATCGTACTGCCGGATTATGAAATCAAACTACGTGCAGTTTGAGTGAGTCGTTTCAAAAAGTCACTGCCGGAGGTGGAATTCAAGTGCCGGATTAAGATGTAGGAATTGAACGAAAAAAATCGGTTTCGTCAGAAAGTGCGCCGGTTGGCAAGGGTTCCAGATAAACAAGTGCCGGATTAGAGAGGGACGACTGTATCCCTACTTGGGGCCTTGATTTCCCCGTCCAAGGGCAGTTAAGCCCGCTGTAAGTCAACTACACATTTTGCTTGGGTGTTATATTGTTGTACTGCCTTTTCTCCACCTGCTCCCAGCCGCGTGCCATCTCCACACTTATACAAAGGGGACGACGATAACGACATTTAGAAAGACTGTTTATTGCAAGACGACTACGGAAACACAACTAGACATGGCGAACTCAAGACGAAGACTGCTTTTCACACCACAGCAACACGCGCATGCACCAACACCACATACACACGACGTACACAAAATAACGTACTACAACAATGTCATCAATTTCAACTCGAGCCAGTAAATTACGGTAATTGTTTGTGTGGGATATTATGGAGCAGGTTGACCCCGGTGAATTGTCTACCCAAATGTGCTTTACCCAAGGCTGTAGTGACAGCAAGCTGTTTCGGCCATCCACGCCTCATCAGTACAGCTATGGGCTGGTGTGTGTTGCGCATTCCTGAGCATGTGCGTATGTGTTGAAACGCAGTCTTTGTCTTGAGTTTATCATGTCCGGTTGTGTTTCCGTTGTCCTGTCTTCATAAACAGTCTTCTACGAGTCGTAGTTATCTTTTCCATTGTAGAAGTGTGGAGAAGGCACGGGGCTGGGAGCAAGATAAGGAAGACCAGTTGATCTATAATTATCTTGCTTTTTGTTGTGTTTCTGTGAGCAGACCACACGCCCACTGATAACGATCACTCCACAGAATCGCACCCCGAATCGCACTCCGAATCGCACTCCGAATCGCACTCTGGTGAGTTTATAGAAAATATTTATGTTTTAGATACACTCCATTATCATCATTGTCATCCATCATCATCCTCTGCTGATCAGCTCTCTAATGATAGCTTGCATAGACCCTGGTCCTACCGGTAGGACCTACCGGTAGGACCATCATACACAGACATGCCACACTGGCTATATACCAGTGTCTTCCATAAAATTGAAACCACACACCACGTAGAGCCATTCGGTGAAGTTCTGAAAATTTGGACGCGGTTGGAGGAGTACTACCGCAGGCTACCATGGCAACGCCCATGGAAGCGGCAGAACAAAAGAAGATATATTGAACAATAAATAATGTAAGATGAGCATAGCAGGCTGACTGATGTAAGCAATGCATTATAACGACCGTGTCGAATGTTGAATTGCCGGGTACCATGGCAACGCCCTTGGCAACAGTAGAAAAAAGGAGTTATAATGAAAAATAAATAATATAGATGCAAGCATGAGCATAGCAGGCTGAACACACGTTCACTCAGTGTGGCAGGCCATGGACGATGTGGTATTGAAAGCACATACGTCCCGTGGCAACAGTAGAACGCCCTTGGCAACAGTAGGAAAAGGAGTTATAATGAAAAATAAATAATATAGATGCAAGCATGAGCATAGCAGGCTGAACACACGTTCACTCAGTGTGGCAGGCCATGGACGATGTGGTATTGAAAGCACGTGCGTCCCGTGGCCGGAGAGCACATCACGGCATTCGGCCCACACGTGGAGCAATAGTAGCTCGCCTTCCTGCCCGAGTCGCGGACATACCTGCACACAACACATTTACGCTGTGTGTGTGGCTTGCCGCTGACCTCAGACAGGGATACCAACCGATGCTCGGTGCCGTCAGGCTGATCTGCTTCAGGTTCCGCAGCACCTGTTTGACTTTGCGGCTGCTGCGGGGCGTTGTAGCGGATCAGTTGCTCCGCAAGACGAGTGGTGAATGCCGAGTGGGTGATCTTGTCGAGGCCACAGCAGAAATGGGAAAATGCAAGGTAAGCATTTGTCTCCATGATGCCAAACACTGAGGCATACACACGATGGTGCCAGGTGTCCGTGCGCCACACTTGCTCCAGAGCCAAGCCATCCTGCCGAAGGTGGTTGTGCACATCAATGGAAGGCGCGCCATCGTGGTACATTGCCACCAACTTCGGTCGATCAACTGTCTTGAAGTACAGCTTCAAGTTGTCATCATACCGCTTTTTCTTGGCAGGATCTCCGGCAAGAGTCGTCCCGCACGTGCTGACAAACGAATGCACCTTCCTGTCGCGCCATGCCACGGCATTCAGTGCTATGCCGTCCCTCTGCGCGGTTGCGGACACGAAGCGGCCTTTCGGAGAAGGACACATCGCGGACAGGAGCTTCAACGGGAAGGCTGTGTGCGCCGTCTTGACAACACCCGCAAAGAAGAGCCCATGCTTCATAAGAGCGACTGCTGTCTTGACGGATGCAAACCAGGAATCGCCGCACACGATTCTTCCCGAGCCATGCCATGTATCCGTCAGTCGCAAAGTTGTGGCAGTTCCAGCACCGAACTCTTTCTGCCACTTCTTGGTAGCCATGGTGTCTTTGCCCTCGTTGATCTCCATCGCAAGCATAATGTTGGTGGACGCATCAGCAACGGACTTAATTTCGCAGCCCACACCTTTCGGCTTCCGCTTGATTTTGATGACTGTGGGCATCCCGCCAATGTCACCACCACGACCGTACCAAGCAAACATTGACTCGTCCACCGTCAATTTGTGGCCGGGCCGGATTGAAGTCTGCCACTTCAAATTGCACATGTCGATGAGGGGGCTCACAATTTTCCAGCCGCGCCTGGTGTCTCCGCTGACTGGTGGACGAAAGTGCATGGCAGCAAGAATTTCCTCAAAGCGATTTGCTCCCATGCCGTATCGACGTCCGAAGGCTGGTGCTGGAAGGAGACCCTCGGTCACACTCCAGTGGTCACGCCGTTGGCAACGTACTGGACACAGCGTCATCAGGTAGAGGAGACCTATCACCTTGTAAAACTCATCGCGGGTTACAGATTTCCGCTTGTCACGCAGGTGAGCATTTGTGCACTTCACTATCTCATCCATTTCCTCGTGCGGAAAGAACAGCATCCAGGCGTCCAATTCATTCATTGTGTGCAAATTGTCAGCATTTACTTTCGCTTTGTACGGAATATCCTTGTACTGATCGATCACTATGTCACCCAATGTCCAGTCCAAACCATGTGCCTGAAGAACAGTGGGAGCGTCTTCAAGACTCGAACCTTCACTACTGCTACATTCCGATGAATCCGAATCACTATCGTCGTCACTGCAACAGCTACTTGAGCTGCTGTCGTCGCCATCGAGTGCAGCTAGTGCAGGTTGTCGCCGCGTCGATACGGGGTCTTGGGAAGTCGGATTTACTGACAACGGTGAAGTATCATCGTCGTCGTCAAACAAGCATTGGTCAGGCTCTGGAGTTGGAGAGCGGCGGCGTTTTCTCGATGGAACATTGGACGACTGAGCAGAACGTGCCGCACGCACAGATCCAGAACTTACACTACGACTATTTGCACAGGTACGACTATTACTAGGCCGATCGGTTGAAGTATCGTCGTCGTCGTCAATCGAATGTATCTCCGCAGGCTCCGGAGTTGGAGAGCGGCGGCGTTTTCTCGATGGAACATTGGACGACAGAGCAGAACGTGCAGCACGCACAGATCCAGAACTTGCACTACGACTATTTGCACAGGTACGACTATTACTAGGCTGCGGATCGGCTACATCGCTGTCGCTGTCCTCAAAACGCTTGGGACGAACAATTCTACGCTTACCTCTTGCTCCGTCGTCGCACGGGTCGGACTCTGCAGCTGCACGAACGTCAGCAACGGCTACAATCGATGTAGTACTGTCCAAATCCCACTTTATTCTGCATCGTTCTCGATCAAAAGTCACACTCAAAACAGTGCCCAAACACTCCGCACTTCTCCAGCTGTCTCCGTAAGTGGAGAATGACCATCGATCCTCATCGTGTGCGTAAAAACCATGATCAAAAGTCGTCGCTGGCACAGTTACTCGCGTTCCGACCTGAATCAATGTAGGCATTTTGACAATGAAAATTTGCGCATGCGCAGTGCGCAGAACATGTGCTCGCGTCTTGCGCCACTGCTAAGGAGTCCAAAGATTACAACAACCCAGTTCAAAAAAAAAAATTCTCAAGCGTTCAGATTTTCTCAGCGTGATTTCCAGCGTCCTACCGGTAGGACGCAACGTCCTACCGGTAGGACGCTATGCAAGCTATCACTAAGGAGCGAAACAGCTGTCCAGAGGCGTACAAATTATCTGTCAACGGAAGTGTCCTTGCCATGTTGGTGTGTTCTGCTTCACACATTGCTTCGGCTAAGAGCGCATGGTGGTGACGGATTGACTATAAAGTGGTTCACGTATGCGTCACCGCTTTTGTTAGCACAGCACATGCTCCTTGCTCCCAGCGTGGGTTTCGAACTCGGGACCTTGTGATTCGCATGCAAGCCCACAACCACTAGGCCAAAGCGCTGGTCTATATAACTGTTCCTACACAACCTAACTTTCTTCGACTTCTGGGATAAATTTCACCTAGAAGCTAGGGAAAGCTCGAACGCACCCCATCTACTCCTGTTTTTCTTTGTGTGTGTGTGTGTGTGTGTGTGTGTGTTTGTGCGTGGGTGTGTGTGTGCGTGTGTGCGTGCGTGTGCGTGCGTGCGTGTGTGTGTGTGTGTGTGTGTGTGTGTGTGTGTGTGTGTGTGTGTGTGTGTGTGTGTGTGTGTGTGTGTGTGTGTGTGTGTGTGTGTGTGTGTGTGTGTGTGTGTGTGATTTGTTGTGTCTGTGTAAACAGATGATGAATCTTTCGATTTCGAGGAGATGATCGAAGCGTTATATGCCCGTAAGTTATCTGCATCTAAATGTTTGTTTTACATAGTAGGTAAAGGTTGGAGAAGACCTTTTAACCCTTTCCATGCCAGCAAGTTTTCCTGTGTTCACCACGCATTGTTCAGGCGCTGAGCTCACCTGTTCAAAGCTGCACGCGCACATCAGAACGAAATATATTTGCATTTCACTGTACCTTGATGGGTTTCACGAGCCATGGCTTGTTGGAAAGATCTGGACCACAGGAAGCCATTTCAGGGACTCACAGCGCGACAGGCATACCAGGGCCACTTCCATCTCCTCTCCAAGTCCCCATATCGTGCCTGAAAAAACAATACGACTGCCTCTCACGTTTTCTTTCGTCTTCTTGCTCATGGTGAACTGACTTTCACGATTCAAACTGCGTTGGAAAGCTGAGATTCAAGCGCGTTTGTTTAAGCTGACTGCGCACACGCTGTCTCTAGGGGAAATCCCCTAGCCCGCACGAAGTCGCGAACAAAAAATTTGAATCGATCGCCAAAAAGTGAAATTTGCGCATTCTGGCCGTTCAATTTGTCGCCGCTAGGTCATACCTTGTCGTATCGCAAAGACCTTTATATCCCTGGAAAGCTGAGCTCAAGACCTTTCCAGTGGTGTTTCAACCTTAGCAGTCCGAGATAATTTGACGGAGTTATGACAGTTTGTACACTCGTCTATAGCGCGCGATATACATGTACTGTACAGTGTAGGCAGAACGCGTAAACGCGTCCATGGCCAATCAGCCCATACTAAAATAACGCGTATACGCGTTCATGGCATGGAAAGGGTTAAGACCGTAGATGATGGCTGTGCCTGTCAGACCACAGCAGACCACAAGCCCACTGATAACGATCACTCCACAGAATCGCACTCCGAATCGCAGTTCCTACACAACCTAACTTTCTTCGACTTCTGGGATAAATTTCACCTAGAAGCTAGGGAAAGCTCGAACGCACCCCAACTACTCCTGTTTTCTGTGTGTGTGTGTGTGTGTGCGTGCGTGTGTGCGTGTGTGCGTGTGTGTGTGTGTGTGTGTGTGTGTGTGTGTGTGTGTGTGTGTATTTGTGTGTGTGTGTGTGTGTCTTTCTTCTCTTTCTCAGACTCCTCCTGACTTTTCTTACATTCTCCTGGGTGGTTACCAACAGCCAGTGCATGCCGGGGTATGTGGTGTGATGTGTGTGAGTGGAGAAAAATGAAAAAGACCAAAAATAGGGATTCACTGCCCAGAAAAAGTCACTTCAAATAGCTCTATGGTGTAGACCAGACTGAATAGTGACGGTCAATCCTTCAGCCTTGCAAGCTGTTAACCCTTTAAGAGCCACAGGAAAATTTCAAAATTCTGCATTTTTTCGTGTTCCTTGGATCATAGCTTCAGTTCTACTCACTCAATCCTCACAATCTAGGGCTTCCTGGAAAGGTCTCCGCGAGAGGAAGAGAATGAGGTCGATCATGATAGCCAGCACACCGTCTATCCAGCGCTAGATCGCAGCGACAGTACGAAAAATGCCCCAAATGCATCCAATTGCGTCCCGCTCCAGATATTTCATTTTACTCGATCGTGGAGTTCCAATTTTTTCGCTGTGTACTCTTGACAATATCAACGGTGAAACCCGTGCAAATCCGAGTAAACCAGCGTAACGAAAAGTCTCAAAATTCTCAATACTAAAGTCGCACTGCGCGCTTTTGAAATTGCCGCGATCGCGGCTCAACTTACGAGTGATTTATCTCGAGAACCGTTGCTCGCAGCGCTTCGCGGATTGTTTCTCCCGACAGGTGAGCGTTTTCTCTTCGCCCTGGATATTTCAATCACTGGATTTGAGCGAGATTGGACTGAGTTACGATCTGTTGAAGTTTTGCATTTGAATACGTCGTTTACGACGCATTCAAGTATGGGGCGGCTCTTAAAAAGGGTTAAATGGTGCAATCCCAGCACAAGTTGCTATGGCTTCTGCCGTAGCATTGCCATCATCGCCTCCGGCGATGGGCGTCAAAGGTGTGTGTGTGTGTGTGTGTGTGTGTGTGTGTGTGTGTGTGTGTGTGTGTGTGTGTGTGTGTGTGTGTGTGTGTGTGTGTGTGTGTGTGTGTGTGTGTGTGTGTGTGTGTGTGTGTGTGTGTGTGTGTGTGTGTGTGTGTGTGTGTGTGTGTGTGTGTGTGTGTGTGTGTGTGTGTGTGTGTGTGTGTGTGATTTGTTGTGTCTATGTAAACAGATGGTGACTCTCTCGAATCTCTCGAAGAGTTTCTCAGAGCGTTATATGCCCGTAAGTTATCTGCATCTAAATGTATGTTCTACATAGTAGGTTGGAGAAGTCCTTTTAATAATAACCCTTTCAGCCCTGACCGGAAAATCACCTCCCACTGGCCAAAAAATGGCCCAGTGGGATGGCCAACAATTTTGAACATGCATAATATTATTATTCTGATCCAAAACTGATTGGAGATGTTGCATATGGACATATGCACTGTGAATCCAAAGAAATGTTGTAGGATTTCATTGTACGAGACTCATAACACCATATTTATGTGGTAGTCCCACTGAACTATGGCTGATAGTTGCATGACTCTTGTTGTAATGTATGTTTTGTCTCTGTCATTGATGCGCTTTCAGTAATCTGCTGATATGCTAGAAGCATCCTAGACCTACCTGCACTGTGTTCCTTCTGTACGCATTCGCCACATACTTGGCATGCCCTATCTGTTGAGTCGGGCTCGCTCGTTCGCAGACTGTTAGACAACAACTGGATGGGTTCTGAGATATCTCTTACTTAGACTATCATGATCTCAGACAATACTACAAGACAAAAGCAAAAGGGAAAACCACTCGAAAAACCATGTCCGCCATTCCAACTCTCTCTCTCTAGAACTCCCTCAGCACAAACTCACCACTCACTCAAAGTATGGACAAGCCCACGCAAAGCAATAAACACGTGACACGCAGATACCGCGCGACACTAAAACACAGCTAACAGTGCACTACACGTAGGTAGTGACGACAATGCAAAGTTAGATACATGGCGACTGATATCATGCAGATCAGTAGCAGTTCAGTTAGTTGAGGTCGAACCTCAACATACCTCCCCTTCTTTCAAAGCAGGAGGGACTAGCAGTTTACAGGTTGAGCCTATCAGGCTGCTTCTTGGCTCGGTCGGATCGACGCGTTGTGACATCGGTCGCTTCCTGGACCGGCATGGGCACTTCGGTGTCCGCTGAGGCGGGCGTAGCGCGGCACGGCTTCACCTGATCAAGATGACGGCGCTGGACGGCACCACCCTCGGTCTCGACGGTGGCTTCATGAGCATTAGCCTCTAACACTGTGGCTCTCTCTGTCGCGCCGGAGGCTTGCTGTACAAAGACTGCGTCACCTTCTGCCAAGTGACGTGGAGCGGTGTGATGCCGTGTGTCATACCTGTCCTTGACAGAGGCCTTCACTGCAGCTTCTCGCACTCTAACGGCTTCATCCAGTTCGTCATCGTCCTCTTCCTCAGATTCTGAACCGGGGCAGCGCAGAGCTTTCAACTGCGTGCGGAATCCACCGCGCAGGAACAGATCTGCCGGAGCATGCCCTGTGGTGGCATTCACCGTGGAGCGGAGGGTACCGAGCGACTCTTGCATCGCTCGCTTGAGGGACGCCTGCGATGACTTTCTGAGATGGCGCTTGAGTGTCTGGTGCAAACGCTCTACCGGGTTTTGCCTTGGGGTGTACGGGACAATACGCTCGTGCTGGATGCCCCAGTCACGAAGCTGGGCTGCGGTCTCTGCACTGACGAACTGGGGACCGTTGTCCGAGATGACGCGCACTGGATACCCGAACATGGTAAACATAGCGCGAAGCGCTGTAACCACCCGCGAGGACGTCTCGCCGGTTAGTTCTGCAGCGAGTGGATAGCGGGAGTACAAATCCATCACACTCAGAAACGCCTTTCCACCATAGTAGAAGATGTCAATGGCAACCGTGTGCCAGGGCCGTGGTGGTAGCTCTCTGGGCTGCAGAGGTACCTTTGTCGGTCGAGCTTCGAGCGCACATGGCTCGCAGCTTTGCACGTGCCGCTTCGCTGCGTTGGCCCAACCAGGCCACCACACTGACTCCTGCAGGCGTGCCTTGGTTTTCGGGATGCCGGGATGCCCATCATGTGCCAGCTCGAGTACCTCCGGCACACAACACTCTGGGATGACTAACCTCTCCCCTCGCAAGATGACAAAGTCGTCAGTCTTAGGGTACGGCCATACACTCAACTCGTGGCGAAGACCACGGTACGGTGCCACTGCGGAGGTCGACGGCCATTTGTCAGTCAGGAGAGCTTGGCGCACTGCACATAGCGTCTCGTCCTGGGCTGTCTTGGCGGCTATCTTGCGTCGTTGATCAGGTAGTAGACCGTCAGCACAGGAGATCGCTTGCACGACCAGGAAACTGGTATCTGCCGGTTCGGTCGGGAAACGTGACAGAGCATCGGCTAGTACGTTGAACTTGCCAGGGCGGAACTGGACTTGGTAGTGAAGGTCTTGCACCTTCAGGATGAGCCGTTGCACCCGTACACTGGCGGCTGACAAGTTGTATGCACGGTCGAACACTTGCAGAAGTGGCTTGTGATCCGACAACACTGTCACGGAAAGGCCGGTGATGAAACTGCGGAAACGCTGCAGGCCCCAGACTATCGCCAGTGCCTCTCTCTCGATCGTAGCGTAGCGGGTTTCTGGTCCAGTCAGTTTACGACTAGCATAGTACACGGGACGCCACTCGTCACCGTCGTGCTTCTGCATGAGGACGGCTCCTAGACCCGTACCAGAGGCGTCGACTTCAACGCGCGTCGGCAGGGTAGGGTTGAAGAGTGCCAGCACGGGCTCGGTTGCAAGGTGTTGTCGCACAGCGGCGGCTGCCTGTGTACATGCTGGAGTCCAGTCCCAGTTTCCAGCGAGCAGAGCTGTCAACGGAGCGAGCAGGTCAGCCAGGTTAGGCACGAACTTAGCTAGGTACGTGGTGAGGCCAAGAAAAGAGCGCAGTTGCGAGACGTTCTCCGGATCAGCCATCTCGTGGAGTGACTTGACCTTGTCCTCACCTGGTCGGACGCCGGAAGCTGAAACTCGATGGCCCAAGAAGGTCAGCTCCGTGACGCTGAATGCACACTTCTTGCCGTTGAGCGTGACACAGTTCGCCTTGAGTGCTGCTTTCACCGCTGCTAGTCGCTTGTCATGCTCCTGTTGAGAAGGAGCGAAGACGAGGATGTCATCCAGGTAAATGAGCACACCCTCAATCGAGCCCAGGATCTGCTCCATCTTCCTCTGGAAGAGCTCAGGACCGCTTGACACGCCAAATGGTAATCGGCGGAACCGGTAGTGCCCCAATGGGGAGGCGATGACAAATGCATGGTGGCAGTCTGGAGTTAGTTCCAGCTGCGAGTAGCCAGACTTCAAATCTAACTTCGAGAATACCGTTGCACCGGACACCTGCGCCAGGAGGTCGTCGGTGGTTGGCAACTGCACACCAGGCCGGCGTACGGCGGAGTTGACTTGTCGCAAGTCGACACACCACCGGACCGTCTTGTCCGGCTTCATGACCGGGACAAGGGGAGAAACGAAATCTGTGGCCTGCACTTCACTAACGGTCTCGACCACACCCTGTTCCGTCCATGCCTGCAGTTGTTCTCGTAATGAGGGGAGCAAGGCCGGAGCCACTCGCCGAGCTGACTGCTGGATCGCTGGTTGACTGGAATCCAAGTGAATCGTCACCGGTCCACGCATAGCTGGGAGCGACGCCAACTCCTCGGTGTCGGCATGAATGCTGATGCCAGCGACAGGTGGTGCCAACAATCCTAATGCAAGTGACACACCTTCGCCCAGGAGCGCCGGCACTGGCTGCTTGGAGTCGTCCACAACAAAGATAGTCTCTTGTACAGTGAACTGGTTGTACGTGATGCACGCCTCGAAAACACCAACAGGTTTGAGCTGCGACGTTCCTACCGGACGTAATGGGCAGGGCGATGACGATAGCCGATACTCGCTCGGTACTTGTGACTGAGGCAGGACCGTCACCATGCTGGCCGAATCCACGCGCATAGCCCTTTGGTGCTTGCCATCTAGCACTACCGATCGTAGTGGAAGCACAAATCCAGTTTTCCCGGACCAGACGCTGAAACATTCCGCATCGTCGTCGTCATCGCTGTCATCCATTTCAGCAAGTTTCGGTGAAGACACCTGACTTCTGGACGATGGCGTTGCTGCTGGTCGGGAATCATTTGCCATGGCCAGGCTGGCCGTCATCCCTGGCTTCGTGCTCAGGTACTGGCCTTTCGGCTTGGGCTTCGCTGCGCCGGAACGGCAGACTTGCCCGAAATGCCCTTTCCGTCCACACTGGTGGCACACGGCGTCGGCCGCCGGACAGTGCCGCTTTCCCGGTGGGTGCGTCGCTCCGCAGTACCCACAAGCGGGGTTACTGGTGTATGGAAGGCTGGGTCGGCCTTGTGTCTGGGGAGCGGCGTAGCTGACCTCGACTTCCTTGGCTGGCGTCTCGCGCGCCAACACAACTGCTTGAGCTCGCTTGGCTGCAGCCGTCAGGTCCTTGCCTCCCTCTTGTAACACACTCTTCCGGGCCGCTTTCACAGACAGGCCACGTGCAAACAAATGTACGGCGACTGTGCCGAGTACATCTTTTAGGTCAGCTCCTGGAGTGAGATTGCATACTCTCATCTCTTTCTCGATTCGGACCCGAAACGCCTGAATCGATTCCCCAGGCTGCTGCTCAATGGAGAACAGCTCAGCAAGCCTGGCATCCGTGCTGCGCTGGCTTCCAAAATACTCATCGAAGAGCCCAATTAGTTCCGCGAACGGGTCGTCTGCCTCAGGGATCGTGGGAAATTTCTGCCACAAATAGTAGCTTGCATTTTCTCCTAGATTCGCCGCCGCGGCCAGGTATTGCTTCTTCTTGTTGGTCACCTCGTGGAGCTGGAAGCCGATGTCCAGTTGACTTCTCCACGTCTGGTAATGGTCATGGCCGAGTTCGTGATCTAAGTCCAGCTTGACAGATACGCGGACTTTCGATGCCATTGTTGTCGCCGTCGTCAGTCAGATTTTCGGAACGAGTGCCAAATCCTGTTCACTGCGCCAATGTTGAGTCGGGCTCGCTCGTTCGCAGACTGTTAGACAACAACTGGATGGGTTCTGAGATATCTCTTACTTAGACTATCATGATCTCAGACAATACTACAAGACAAAAGCAAAAGGGAAAACCACTCGAAAAACCATGTCCGCCATTCCAACTCTCTCTCTC